TATATATATATATATATATGTAGTATCAATTTTATTAAGTTTGTCACATCAAAGTAAACACAATCTTAATTATAAATTTATTGAAAATAATTTCAAATGATTTTTAAATTAATTCTAAATTTATTATCCAATTATTAAAAATATAAATAATGCATTTTATAACATGGATATTGATAATTAAATGTTGGAATTACTAAATAAAAATAATTCAAGATATTTATATATCAATAAAAGGAAACCAGCCAAGTTTTAATTAATGTCGTTAATCACAATGGCTAATTTTTTTTATAGCACATCTCACTTGAAAAGGCTGCCAAAGTTTTATAAAACTGTTTTATTTAAAAAAAAAATCAGAAATTAGCAGCTTAAGAGAACTTCATCATATAATATATTTTAGTAAACATTTTTTAAATAAAATTTTGTGAGAACCAATAAAATTTCATATATTGCAACTTTTAAATCCTAATAAAATATTTTATTTAATAATTTAAATATATTCAGATTATAGATACTGAATGATAAGAACATGATAAACCTCTCAAAGCTAAATTTTATGAAAAGACCCAAATCAAACATATTGGAGATGCAATTGAAGGTACCTTGCTTAATCATGGTCAAAATTTTTTAAATCTTTGAATAAATTAATCACAAAACACAAATAAATATCCCAATTATGATGAGTTTTAACTTGAACTCATAGACAATCAATTAATCAACAAAATTATGCCTCGAATAACTCAATTTTGCAATCCTCCACCATCAAGAAATAATGATTTATTGGCTAAGAAAATATTTTAAAGCAACTTAAAATTAAGCATTATATAGAGTTGGTGCAACCAAATCAAGTTCAATTTAATCCTTCTAGCCAACAACTCAAATTACTAACACTAAGAAATAATTGAATATCCTTCTTATAATAGAAACATGGCATTTATGAGTGCCTTAGTTTATGTAAAACATCTATTATACTCCTCTTGTGCCTCCAACAAAATAAAGAAATGATACTAAAATAATAAAAAATAATGTGTATCAGTGATGGATTCATGCTCCTACTGAATTAGTTTGGAAAAAAAAAAACATATGGTGAGCAAAAGTACGAAATATTTGCTCGTTTATATATAGAAATTAGGATTAAGAGTTCTCAAGTTGAAATAAGAACACAGCTAAGACTGATAGGAGTGAGACAATGAAGGCCAGGAAAAAATACTTGCAATTAAGCTGGGTGGCATCAATAGTTCTTACAAGCTCTGCATTGGGAAGAGCAGCCAAAGAGTCCTCTGCTGATACTGTAGGATCCTGCTTCATTTCTAAGGCAGCACTAGCCATAGATTCATCCACCTGCCCCAGAAAATAAGATTAGTATATACTCTGTACCACCATAAATACAGAAATAGTAAGAGTTATTGTATGTTAAATATGAAGCAGGATCCCAGAACATGCTGATTCAGAGGAGTTGATTAATTTTGAAAAGAGATAAAAGACAAAACAAAAAATAAAATGATCAAAATCATCATCAACCGAGTACTCGTGATAGAAATCAAGAAATCGCAAAAATTTTATTGCCAATTAACTGTAATTCTCCTCTATATTATTTCTACTGACTGATGCAGATAAATCTGAATGTTATGAAGATACTGTGTAATTTAAAAGTTAATCCAAGTGAAAGCAAGCAATGAAAAAAGAGATATCTCCTCTATAAAAATACCTGGAAATTGATTAAGCTAAACAAATTCACAAACTAAATGAAATAATAAAATCAAAGATAAGCAAACTAGCAGAAAAAAGTATAAAATGAGATTGATAGTGAAATACTTCCAATAAAAGGGAGACATTGAAATTTTCTCTCATGTGATTAAAATAAAAACTACAAAATTAAATTGAGTATTAAGACTTGAAGCTAAAGCAAATGGATGTTGAGAATAATTTTCTCCATGATGATCAAAAGAAAGGCATCTACATGGTTCAACCTCAAGGCTTCATAGTATAAGAACAAGAAAATCTAAACTTCAACCAACAAAAGCCTACATAGCTTGAAGCGATCCCAACTCCAATGATATCAAAAGCTTGATGGATTCACGTAAAAGATTGACTTCCATATCTATCATGTTAATCATTGCTGGCACGAAAAAGGCAAGCAAAGGATTGTATCATCTTACCTTGGTCATGTTTATTCCAAAGGACAACATCAAGAAAATCAGCAATCTTAAAAGATAATTGTCAAAGGAATTTGCCACAGAAAATCTAAGGGAACCCTAAAAAAAACTTAGAATGAGAATAGAACGACAAAAACTTCAGATGTTGAACATATCACCATCTAAAAAGATCGATATGTGTTCAAATGGTTGACATGATGAATGCAAAAAAAGTGAACATGTCACTTGCAAACCACTTTAAGATCTCAAAGAAATAACTACCAAAAGCAAATGAAGAGAGACTATTAGCTAACATCTCTTACGACTAAGAAGTTGGCTCTTTGATATATGTAACAGTCCGCATAAAACCAAACATTGCACATGCAATTGGTGTTATTAGTTGATATATGTCAAATCTAGAGAAAAAATAATGGTAAACTGAAAATTGAATTCTAAGCTACTAAAAGCACAATTAATCACTCAATGAAGTTTGAAAGATTGACTTGAAACTATAAAGATAAGTTGATGCAAATCTAAGAGAAGCCCAAGATACATACAGAAGCACAATAGAATGCATCTACTCCTAAAGTGGAACCGACAAAAGCTAAAAATATAGTTATTGAAAACCAACTAAGAGATGATTTGGCTAAAGGTATTTTGAAAGAACTGAACCAATCTAATCTGTGACAGTCAAAATGTCATTTACTTGGCAAATAAATCGTCTTATATTCTCTTACAAAGTATATAAAATTCAAATATCACTACATACACAATTTGTTTAAAGATGATGTTTTACAACTAAATAAAATTAAAAGAGCAGAAACCCCAGTTGATATACTAACAAAAGTGGTACCTATCAAGGAGAAAATGAGACCTGCAAAACCTTAATTAACGTCCACAAATGATGATATGGAGATGTGGTATACAGTGATACTCAGACATTGATCACAAAACAAGTAAATGATAAATTTTATCTCCAAGTGGGAAATTGTTAAAATATGAAGATAATTTCATTTCTCTCCTATAAATTAATTAAAGATCATCCCCTAACTAACATGAACGTTATGATAACCATCACCATCTTCCTAATAAATTCAAGCTTACTTCAAATTATCTCTAAGCACTATATAAGGAGATGGCTCAAATATGTTGAAATATTTCATAACCATAGACAAATATAAAGAATTGAAAGAGAAGGAAAAAGGGGCTTGCATATTCATAACCATAATAAGGTATTGCAGTAGAGGAGAAAATAGGGAGAAGATGGTGATAACAACAATAGCAGCATCTTCTCCACGTTCGGCCTTTCCTTTATGTCATTCACATAGAAAAAGAGTATTTCTACCATTACCTTTAAATGTATAAAGGAAATCTTTATTTACTTCCATTTTAAAGCTTAGTCGAATATTGAATCTCCGCGCAATTGTGAATATCACTGAACCAAGTAAATGTGTCCTGTGGTCATAATCCTTGATTTGTTTGTTTTTTTTATTTCACTTTATTTTGCTCAAAATTGTATAATTTCTAGCACATTCTGCCAAGTAGTGTGAGATACAACAGTTGAATTCGCTCGGGCTTACAAAATTGGTCACTGACATCACCATTATAGAAGGATAGCAACTCCCAATCATGAGAGTTATGTTTAACTCGTTAAAAGCTATGCTTGATTAGACAATGAAACACTATATCTCCTTAATTTCAACAATAGCATCACAAAATTCATTTTTCAAACCAAATATGTTCTCGCCATCAACTTCCAAAAAACTTGCAACTAGTAGCAAACAACAATGAAAGGTTAATAGATTGGGGCTAATTAAGGGTTGTTTCTATGAATTCTACACATTGTATTTAAAGAATTTTAAGATAAAAACACATAATATTCAAATTTCATTTCATCCTAGAGCCAGTTGATTTCTTCCCAATATTTCAACTTTGTAACGCTCATTTATAGGGTCAATTTTGGCCTACTCATGCAGTGAAGTATTCCATTGCCGCATCTCTCTTCTTCTTTGGCTAAAAGTAGAGATAAAATCACAAAAAATAACTAACCTGTCAATTTGTATCTAACAAATATGCAAATAAGAAATTATGAGTGCATATAAAGTAGAGATAAAATCACAAAAAATAAATAACCTGAAAATTTGTAGACACAGACTCTGCAAGGGTTTCATTATACGAATTGAAGCTACCATGATCATTGTTATTTTTAGCTTTCTCATGATTCAGGACGACATCATTTTCTGGCCACAAACATTTCTTTGTCAAGATCTTGTTCTTTTTCGTTAATGTAGACATCTGCATTTGCAAGAATAAAACAGTATCACAAAGCAGGTCAACGTAATGTGAAATCGTAGTCACAATTTTATATTTAGCGTACAACTAAAAGTTGTCGTCAATCTATCAAAACTAAAAATTTGTTAGAACATTATTCATCCCTTCCTGATCACCAACAGAAATTTATTCTCACTGGAAATTTTAAAAAGCACTTTGCTGCTATCTCGAAGAACTAATAACTTAACTTAGACATGAAATATTAAGAAAAAAAAATAGTAAAGAGAATAATTAGCTCATGGAGGCAAATAATTATGCCCAAAGCTCAAAGCTCACTCAATAATTATAAAATTCTAATAGACCAAAAATCCAAATTAATTTTCTTTGACTTAAGGACCACAATATATAATAAACATAGAGAGTACTACTTAAAAGTGGCATAAGATTCTACTAATCTAAAATCTTAACATTTCAATTTTAAAAAATATTCTCAATCATTCACTAGTTTCCACTAACATTAAATCCTTTACTTTCAATTCAAAAGGTTTCATAGAATTTCATGATAGGCCATCCTTTAAGAAAAATAATTTTTTGGAATTTTTTTTTTTCCTCAGAGTTTTCCTGAAGTTAGGAAAGATGTCCTCTTTGGGTTGGATCCCCAAAATTTAGGGAGGTGAAAAGGAAAGGAGATTGTGGTGGAGTCTAAAACTTTTCATTTCTCAATTGCCGAATTCTGGGAGAGTATAGAAGCTTTCTTTGGTTAAAATATTTATTTTTTGGTGCAAAATTCTTCACACTAGCACAAGAATCCCTTTGGAAGCAACTTGTAGTTGAATAGTCTTACAAAGTCTAAAACTTTTCGTTTATTTCTTTGTTTTTAACTAGAAAGTCGTATTATGAAGTTATTGAAGATATCTAGCCTTGCAAAGGTTACCAGCCTATTGTAACTTTCTATGAGTGTTGTAGTTCTCTTTTATGAAGAATTTCTTCAACATTGTGTGCCTTGATTTTCCTATTGGCTTTACGAGTTTTTCTGCTATATTTGTTAATTTAGTATATTATCAAAGTTGAAGTTAATGATCACTTGGAATTGAAATAGGCTAATCTTGCGCCAAAAATATCTACAATCTAAGAATGAGAAGTCCATAAAAGAAAGTTTCAAGTTATATAACTTGATAACTTAGATTGAATATTCTTCCTCTAGTTTACAATATTGCATGTGGAGGTTAGATGTGTGCTTCATTTGAGTGCAGTACAAATGTGATTGTCAAGTTATAAGGAAAATCATCTCCTTGTGCACGTATAAAGCATGATTTTATACTTCGGTAAATTTTTTTCCTTAACCTAATTTAAGCCGCATATCTTATTATTAGTTGGGTGGGCTTGGCTTTTATTTTGCTCAGATTAGATCTTTATTTGTGATAGATAAAAAACAAATGCTCACTAATTTTGTGTAACACTATTTTTCACGACCACATTTAACTTTTTCAATTATGGTCATTTGTTCATGTGATTAGTGGTCAGTAATATGATAATCTCAGCTTTGCTAATCTACATGCATAACTCCGCTCCATTAACAATAGAATACTCCAACCCTAATCAATCTACATCAAATTAGAAAAAGAATTTATAATTGCATCATTATTTCAAGAAAAGGTGGAACATTTAATCTGTTAAATAATAAAATTTTAAGTAACAGTGCAAAACAAGTAGGTTTTTGTTCTAGATAATAACAACACAACTATCATGAGCTTGAGATTTATACTTTTTTCAAACTTCTACATTTGAAATGATGTGTGATCTTATTGGATTATTTTCGTGGTGAATAAATTATTCTGAAATTTTATTTTTTTTTACCTACTATTTATATTTCAAAAGTTTAATTTGCTGAAACAAAATTAGGGCCACATTTCAATTCATTTTGGCGAAGTGTTTCAAGTAAAATATAATCAATATGAACTGGCATGAAATATAAGCTTTAAGAAATATACAAAAATAGAGTTTTAAATAAAAAAAAGTTAAACGTTTAAATATTATACGATACTTGCATATCCTGTTGCTACATACGATTTAACTTAAAGACAATTTTGTTTTTGCTACTTGCTTCATTAAAGGTCTTATGCTAGAGTTTAGAAATGATAAGCCCCTATAAATTAAAAATGCCGAGACTTTAGCTTGATCCCTGAGTATTAAAACAAATCAAGTATATTGGGTTCTTGCAATTACTTAATTCTTATTAGAATATTTCTTAATAAAGGATTATGTATTAATTGCTTTTATTTGCTTTTATTTTCTTTTTTGTTCCTTTATTATGTTTTAATTTGTTTCCTTATTAGTATATCATGTAATGGGTATTTATACCCCTTTTCGCATCAATAAGGATGATCTTGGGTTCAATTCTAACAAGATATCAGAGTCTAACTCTAGATTCCCCAGCCTCCTCTGTCGGTTCGAACGGCCCCCGCCTCCACCTCATTCTCCTAGTCGGCGACGTCCTCTGTCGGGTCATGGTATTCCAGTAAATCTGCGGTCACCGACAGCCAGATTCCTTCCTGCGAACTGCAGGAATCCTTCAGATTCCTGGCCACTAGTATCCTTCTATTCCAGCAAACTGTAGAAATCCTTCAGGTTCCTTCTGAGAATGGACAGTTTTGAACCGGTCCTGCTTCAGAATCCTTCCTGGGAACTGCAAGAATACTTCAAGCAGTCGCTTTTTCTTCCCGATGGATCTTGTCCACCATATTCCTTCTGCTGCTTCTGTTCCTGCAATTCCAATTCCCGAAGGATTCATCATGTTCCTACAGATTCCTGTCCGAAAGATTCCTCCTACTACCGTTGTTTTACAGGAAGGATTCCTACAATTGTCCCGCTACCTGTAATTCCTGTAGTTGTATCTGTTTGTCGTGATTCTAACAAAATTTATCGATGACTCAGAACCACAACAACATAATATTTGGCTCTATCGGAATTATGGTGGATTCATCCAACACGGAATCACCATTAGATAATATTATTGATTCCACCGAAGGATCAACTACAACCTCCGTTTCCTTGCAGATCGAAGGACTGAAAATCAATAATTTCTTGATCACAACACATAAGTTGAAGGCAGTATCTTTCTCCAATGGTTTCAAGCTGTCTTTGTTTATTAAATGATGTGGGAAGTTTGGTCACCTAATAGGTATGATTCGCGAACCTCTAAAAACTGACCCAGCATATGGAGCTTGGGAAGTAGAGAATTTCATGGTCATGTCATGGTTGATCAACTCCATGGAAACTTATATTGGCTGATCATATATATTCCTTCCTTTAGCTAGTGTCATCTGGATTGTAGTCCATGATACCTACTCAGATGTAGAGAATTCCTACCAACTCTATGAGGAATCTAAGAAATATCATGAGGAACAATGATCCAAGACTGTGACCCATACCTATAATGATCTAGTTGCATTATGATATCAGAGCCTAACTCTAGATCCGCCAGCCTCCTCCGTCGGTTCCAACAGCCCCCGCCTCCACCTCCTCCTCCAAGCCGGCGGCGTCCTCTCCCGGGTCATGGTATTCCAGTAAATCAGCGGTCACTAACAGCCAGATTCCTTCTTGCAAACTGCAGGAATCCCTCAGATTCCTGCCCGCCGGTATCCTTCTATTCAAACAAACTGCAGGAATCCTTCAGATTCCTTTTGAGGATGGACAGTTTTGAATTGGTCCTGCTTCAGATTACTTCCTGCGAACTACAGGAATACTTCAAGCAACCGGTTTTTCTTCCCTGTGGGATCTTGTCCGGCATATTCCTTCTGTTGCTTTTGTTCCTACAGCTACAATTCCAGAAGGATTCATCCTGTTCCTGCAGATTCCTGTCTGATGGATTCCTCCTGTAAAAAAACCTTCGTTCTGCAGGAAGGATTCCTGCAGTTGTCCTGCAACCTGTAATTCATGCAGTTGTATCTGTTTTTCATGATTCTACCAAAATTTATCGATGGATCAGGAACCACAATAACATATCATTTGGCTCTATAGAAATTAAGGCGGATTCATCCAACACCGAATCGTCTTTAGATAATATTATAGATTCCACCGAAGGATGAACTCCAACCTTCGCTCCCTTGCAGACCGGAGGACAAGAAATCAACAATTTCTTGATCACAACACATAAGTTGAAGGTAGTAACTTTCTCCGATGGTCTCAAGATATGTCTTTGCTAATCAAATGATGTGGGAAGTTTAGTCACCTAATAGGTATGATTCGCGAGCCTCTGAAAGCTGACTCAACATATAGAGCTTGGGAAGTGGAGAATTTCATGTTCATGTCGTGGTTGATCAACTCCATGGAGGCTTCTATTGACCGATCATATATGTTCCTTCCTTCAGCTAGTGTCATATGGATTGCAGTCTGTGATACCTACTCAGATGTTGAGAATTCCAGCCAACTCTATGAGGAATCTAAGAAATATCATGAGGCAAAACAAGGGTGCAGGACCATGGCCCAGAACTATAATGCTCTAGTTGTATTAAGGAATGCGACCTATATATTATGATTACACTTGAGAATATCTAGCCGATCTGTCTTTTTTCCAGAAAATTGTAGAAAAGGAGTGCATGTTCCAATTTTATCGTCATTTCTTGGCTGATCAACTCCATCAAGACTTCTATTGGCCGATCATATATGTTCGTTCTTTTAGTTCCTGCCCTCTAGATGACAGTTTGTGATATCTACTCAGAAGTAGGGAATCCCATCCAGCTCTATGAGGTATCTATAAAAATCTGTGAGGCAAAACAATGATCCAGGACCATGACTCAGTACTATAATTATCTAGTTGCATTATGGATGAAATGCAACCTATATTATAACTACACTTGGGAATCTCAGGTCGATCTGTCTCTTTCCCAAAAAATTTTAGATGTGGAGTGCATATTCCAATTCCTGGCTGGCCTTAGCAAAAACCTTGAAGAAGGACGAGGTCGTATCCTTGGTCGGGGTTCCCTTTCTTTAGCTCAGGCTTCTTACACTGAGATTTGTCGCAAAGAGAGCACGAGATTTGTTATGTTTAATACTTCTACTCTGTCGGTCGAAGCATATGCCTTGGTCTCTGATAGTGCTCAACCCCGGGTTGGTCACCCACTAGTGATTTCTGTCACAAACCCAACCAAACTCATGATAAGTGTTGGAAGCTCCACGAAAGCCTGCATCCAAACCTTCGGCCGAATCTTCTGTTACTAAGGGCCTCGTTACGACATCTGGATCCAACACAGTAAAGTCGGCCTATACCTAGAATAATTCAGAATCCTCCAATTCTCTTAAAAGTCAAATTGAGCACTTAATCAAGCTGAATAGATCCAATCCAATCTCTTTCGACACGTCGACCTCCCACGTTCTTCAAGGTACCGATCCTATGACATTCACTTCTTTTGCTCATTCTAACCTATGGATCATTGATTCAGGTACCACGAACCACACGACTGGAAGCTCTCGAGCCTTCTCGACATACTATCCTTATTCAGGGAAGATACTATCACAATTGCTTATGGGTCTCAAAGTTTCATTGCTGATAAAGGCTATGTTGCTTTAACAATAGGTCTAACTATGGAATTTGTTACATGTATTTATGCTGAAAAGTAATATTTTATTTGTTAGGAAACTGACATATGACATAGATTGCGCTGCTCATTTTTCCTTTGATGTCTATGTCATTCAAGATCGTCGTTCGAGGATGATGATTGGAACTGCTAAGCGGGTTGGCGGGCTCTACTTCTTTCAACAAGAGGAAAGCACAGAGAACAATGACACTCCACCCAGTAGTTATAGTTTATCTCAGTCTACTGAATGTTTTATTATGTTGTTACATTGTCATTTGAGTCATCCTAATTTCCATTATCCAAAACAATTATATACATTGATGTTTACTAATAAAAATCATTCTAATTTCAAATGTTCATTCTAATTTCAAATGTGAATGTGAAATATGTCAGTTAACTAAACATTATCGTGTTCTTTATCCATCTCGTAATTACACACATTTCGCTTCTTTCGCTCTTATTCACAGTGACTTGTGAGAACCCTCTCGCACTCCTAGCTGCACAAGTAAATGGGTGGTTCCTTACTTTAATTTATGACCACATTTGGATGACATGGGTCTATATTTTAAGAGAAATTTGAAGCTGCGATCACTTTTAAAAACTTTAACACATTCATTTTGACCAAATTCAAAACTTTCATTCATGTCCTTCAGAGTGACAATGGTTGCAAATTTTTTAACTCTATATTAGGGGAATTCATGTTAAGTAGAGGCATCCTCCATCATAGTTCATGTATCTACACTCCTTAACATAAAATGATAGTCGAGAGAAAAAAATCGACATCTCCTCGACGTTACCCGCTCCATTATGTTTCACTCTAATGTCCCAAAACGTTTTTAGAATGATGTCATTCTTACCGCCACTTAACTTAAAAATAAAGTTCCCTCGAAAATTATCAACTTTCGTGCCCCTTCAGCCGTCTTTGAAAACTTGTTTTCCAAACAAACGGTTCTTCTCCACTTTAGATATTAAAATTTTTGAATGCACGGCTTTTGATCGGAATGCAGCCCCATTTGGAGTAAACTTGAACCCAGGTCTATAAATTACGTTTTCCTCGGATACTCTGCCACTCAAAATGGGTATCGTTGCTTTGAGCCTACCACAAATAGGATCTACATGAGTGCAGATGTCTCCTTTCTTGGAAATGTTCCCTACTTTCCTAACTCGACCTCCAGTGAGGGGGGGGGGGAGGGGCGCTAGAGTTCTTAGACACTGTTCCTTAACCTACTCCTGTGGATATTCCCCCCACGTCATATGCCATTGAGGAACTGTTTGTTCCTTTGGTTCCACCCACTTCTCATACAACCAAGGAGTCTTTGTCCCTTTGGTTTCACTAGCACACCCTCCTACTCTCCATTTCTACACTCAGATACACTCGTTCTTATGCACCTACTTTGGAGCTCGCTAACCCCTTACTGAACCGCAAATTCCCTTCGGACAACATCCTCAACACTGCTCCTACTACAAATGAGAAAGTCAGTTCCTCTAGTAAGGTACCCAATCAGACAGACTCTTTCAATCCCATGCTAAGCTGTCTCTTTTCGTAGATTATCACCAACCTACAAATCATCTGCTACGATCTTAACCAATCATCAACTTTTATCTACTATTGAGGCTGTCTTAGCATACCCAGCTTGGAAAGTTGTCGTCATGGAAGAGTTGAACGCTCTTCAACTCAACCATACTTGGGACAGTTGATCTTCCTTAGATTAAAAAAGCAGTGGGATGTCGATGCATTTTTAACATCAAGTTTAAATCTGATGGATCCTTTCAAGGAACGGTTGGTCGCCAAAGAGTACTCACAGACTTACGAATTTGACTATCATGAGACATTTGCTCTAGTTGCTAAATTAAATAACATTCGGGTCCTCTTATCCCTTGCAATGAATCTGATTTTGCCCTTATTTCAGCTTGATGTCAAGAATGTGTTCTTGAACGGCATTCTTACAAAAGAGGTGTACATGACTCTTCCTCCATACTTTGACTTCTCTGCCTCCCAGGGGCAAGCATTTAGACCGCAAAAATCTCTCTATGGATTGAGCCAATCACCACTGGCATGGTTTGGGAAATTCACAAAGGTCGTGGTAGGCCATGGATTCACTCAGGCTTAATCTAACCAGACTCTCTTCTTCTGACATTCCTCAAGCGGCCAGTAGCTATCCTCATTATCTATGTTAATGATATTATTCTCACAAGTGGTGATCTACCAGCATTGGAGTCTTTGAAAGGTATACTTGTTGCTTCCTATAAAATGGAGGACTTAAGATTTCTTCGGTACTTCTTAGGCATGGAAGTTGTTCGGTCATCTCAGGGTATTTGTCTGTCTCAGTAAAAATATGTGATTGACCTTTTGACAAACAACAATATGTGCAAGCCTATGGCTGTCTAATGGATCCCAATAAAAAACTACTTGACGTTATGAATGCAATTCTTGTAAACAAGACTCGCTACCAGCGTCTTGTGTGAAAACTCAGTTATATTGCTCATACACGCCCCGAAATATGCCACACAGTTGGGATAGTCAGTCAATTCATGAATGATCCTTATGAGCATCACCTCCAAGTTGTCCGCTGAATCCTCCACTATTTAAAATGGACACCGGGCTCAAGTTTGTTTTTTTTTCCTGCCACATCTCTCATTCTATTGTAGTTTACACAAACACGGGTCGATAGGGGTGTGGTTCATTTGTGTGGGGAAAATTGATCACGTGAAAAAATAAGAAACAGTTTGTAATTGCTCATAGCAGTGTGGAATTTTGATCCATGTCTTTGAGAATTTTTGAAGCTCTCTGATTATGAATCATGTTCTACAAACTACGTATGACAGTCTCCACTCCCCTACAGTTGTTTTGTGATAAAAATGTTGTCATAAACATTGCTCACAACGCTGTCCAGCATGATCGCACCAAACATGTTGAGATTGACATTAAGGAAAAGTTCGAGTTTAAGAAAATTTGTGTTTCGTTTGTGTCGTCTAGTTACCAACTGTCAGATATTCTCACAAAAAAACCTTCCTCAACCACTATTTGACGAGTTCAAATCCAAGTGGAATATAACTCACATCTAAGCTTCAACTTGAGGGGGAGTATTAGAATATTAGAATATTTATTAATAAAGTATTATGTATGAATTACTTTTATTTTCTTTCCTTTATTTCTTTATTCTGTTTTTATTTGTTTCCTTATTAGTATATCTTGTAATGGGTATTTATACCTCTCTTTGTATCAATAAGAATTATCATGGTTCTATTCTAACAATTTTTTAAATAAAACTAAGCAACATCTCACATCTGAAATCTCTTGCAACAATGTAATGCAAAAATCACTTAAAGTTGAAATTAGTATGTTTAAAAAATATTAATTCACAAATATTCTTTTGATGATATATTATATGTGAAAGATGATTTGTAATTAAGAATTTTGAAAGATAGATATATTATTTTAAACAGCAGCTAAAAATCAATGAAATTTTCGGATTTAGAAAACACGCCCAAATTAATTGGAATAAAGTAAACGAAGGTGATTAGAGTTTGGAATAATGTATGATAATTACGCAAACTATATGAAGATTTTGCTATGTTCATCGCAATAATATTTTGATTCCCCACACAACCCACCAACACACCACCCCCACACCCCACCAATGATTAGTTAACGACTTTTATCAAACATTAACACATCATAAAAAAGCTTGATCATGACCACCGCACTTATCTAACCCCCTTTGAAACTTGCATCTGAAATACAACCGAAGCAAGACGTTGAAATAAATTTTTGGATTAAAAGAGTACTTTTGTTACCACCTATACTAAAATTTATTTGACAAAACAAAAACAGGTTAAGGCATTCAGAAACAGATACAAAAATTAATTCCTTCACTAGAAACCAAGCTGAAAATGATAAAGTAACAATGGTGTAACAATCAAACAATAAGTTAGACTCAGAAACATTAAAAGCATTAACAGCAAGTAAATCGATAAATTAATTTTTGCAAGAAAACTGATAGAAACCTGCAGTTGAATACGCGCTCTTTCTGATGCCAACTTCTTCACTAGTTCAACAATAAGTGTGGTCCGGTTACCAATATCCTTAGCAATAGCTACCTTCGCCATGTCAGCTTGATGCAATGATGCCTCTAAACTTTCTAATCTTCCTCTCAGAAAGCACAATTCTTCATTTAATTCAAAGTTTGTATCATTCAATAGTTTAGCATCCACAAGCTCAGCCCTATTTTCTGCATTAGAAACCTTCCCCTGTAGGTCTTCAATTAATCGTTCCATATCTTTTAGTGTAGTATATTGCATATTCTTCTGTTTGTTATTTGCATCAACAGATGCCTTTGCATGCTCCAACTGTTTCTCTGATTCCTTGAGCTTCCTTTCCAAATCAGTCTTCTCAGTTCCATTATTTCTGAGAAGTCCCACTTCAACATTTAGTTCTTCATTAACTTTCATCAACTGAGCACACCGTGCTTCAGCACTTTCTGCCCTGCTTTGTATTTCTATGACATTTTCCCTGAGACCCGTAATTATGTTTTCCATGTTATTATTTTCAAGGTAAAAAGTATTTTGTCGGCTGCTACCTTCTCTAACAGGACCAGCTTCTTCAGCAGATGGTTCCACAATGGCTTTCCCCATGTTAGACTTCTCCCATTCTCGGGCAGTTGACGCAGTGGAACCGTACTCACTATTCTGGAGCTCCATAAATTCCTTTGAATTTCCCAAAAGTAACTCAACAGTATTTTCAGCTGCAAACACTCTCTCCATTATTGTTTCTATCAAGTCTTCACTATAGTATGCATCCTGCTCTGCAAAATAAAGTTTCATCTTTAGCTCATTTTCATTATTTTTCGATTCAGACAGCATCTTTTCAAGATCCATTTCCCTGGCCAATGATTTTTCTAATGATTGTAAAAAATGTCTCTGTTGCTCTAAACTTTGCAGATTCCACTTTGAATTCATAAGTTTACTGCCATTCTCTAAATCCACGTCTATAGAAATCCCTACACAAAAGAACTAATAAGACAAACTATAGCACATTTTCATTCCTACTTTACAAAAGATTAACATATTTAAACAACTTTCAAACTCACCAAAGGCCAGTAATCTTTCAAAATTTTCAGATTGTTTGCGAATATAAGCAACCTGTTCTTGGGAATTTCTCAAAGATTCCCCAGCATAATGTAGCTTCGCTTCAATGTTTGATGAGGACTCTTCAGTGTTATCGTCACTTTCAGTGAACTTCTTGTGAACATCAATGATGACTAGTTGAAGACTGGATAAAAAGCTTTCTATCTCTTTCAACTCTGAGTTCAAGAATCCGCTTAAAATATCAAATTGAAAAGCCCTCGCAATGGACTCCGTCGAAAGTTCTTCAGAGCTGCTGGTAAGAGTTTCATAGTCGCTTGCTCTTTCGGCCACTTGCATCACAAGTAACTCTAAATTCGAAACTTTTTCTGAAGAATATGCTAAATCTAACTCTATTTCTCTTGAAACTTCCCTTGTAATCCCTCTGGCAATCCGATCTCCATTATACGATATATTGTCGTGTAAGAATATAATATCAGAACCATCATCCACAGACATAACTGATTTTCTTCTGTCCTAAAAGTTAGAAAAATAAGGAAGATTAACATCAATGGTAAGCAACAAGAAATGTATGATTATTATGAGAACTGCCAATAATGAGATTCTTAAGCCCAAAATAAAAAAATGAGGGCTCAATTGCTGGCCACTTTATAGCACAATCTGAAAAATACTTCTAGATTAGATAGATTTCAATCATAGAACCATACTATGACAATATATTAATTTCTAGTAATTGATAAGATTTTGTTGACCATTCGATGTCACATAATGAAAAATGTATTAATCACAACCCAACCAAGAATTCAGATCAGGCAAGTAGACAGACACAACGCCTTTTATAAAGGAAAAGTGGAAGGAATAGAATCAATATTTCTAAAAAACATAAGAGAATCACAGCATCTGATTACATCTCAATTTAAGAAAAAAAGAAATACCAGAGGCATACAAAATAAAGGTTCGTAGTTTTTGAAATCAAGAAAAAAGCATTAACAACCATAATGAAGCACAAAATATGTGCTCTGCTGGGTATAGAAAATGAAATAAAAACAACAATAAAGGTCATGACCCTCTAAACCGAGATAAAATTATTGATAATACAATAGCTCAATGGGTGCGCTTCTACAATTTAAAAAAATCAATAATAATAAAATAACAAAGTGTGTATTATAAATTTCTAAGCGTATTCACCAAAATAAATAAATTTGAGCAATTAACATCTACAACATTTACACAATTATATCCAACCAAAAAAATAAATAAATAAAGCTCCAACTGAAAACATTCATATCCAACACGCATCTAACTACAAAAAATAAAATGAATATTTACTAACAAAAAAATAAAGCATAACTTATCTATTGAAAATGTATAAAACATTACCAATAGCCAATACTTAAAATGTTAAATGTCTCATAGGTCCTAATAATAGACACCGAAGTAACTTCATTTTTGACAGATAATAACTTATAAAGGGATGAATCTGTACAACTTACCAGGCTTAGTAATAATATACCCATAAGGAGGCTACAACCATAATCTTACATATTAATTCAACATATTCACGAAATAAAATATACAATGATGACAGTCGGAATTACAGTGATTAAAATAAACACATTACAGAATAAGAACATATCAAACGCAAATGTACCGACCATGTGATTTTAAATTGTTTAAATATTTAAATCACATGCATGCAGAGATTCATAATGGATTATCAATACTCAAACACAGAATAGCATCAATCAATAATAAAATATCAAACTAATTGTCAACCCAAAGCTAGAATCACACATTCTTGTGCACCAGTTATAAGTCTTGTGATCCCCGCAGCTGAAACACACATTCACACAACAGTCATACACTGACAAACAAAGCACACACTATCACAGCATCTCAAAACAATACAACAAACTTAAAATTGCCCAAATTTGAGAGTTAATATAGAAAAAAAAAATCAAACCACTCAAATGTGATGGGATAGGTCCTAAGAAACAAAGCATTACCAATCGATCACACATGAAAAAACTTATGGCAAATCCATCCCTATCGAAGGGCCAGATAATCAAAACCATTAATTCTCATATATACCATTTCCCATCTACAAGCAATAATGTTACAATTTCCCAAATCAGAATTTCAATAAGTAATCACCACTAAAAGGTAGTTTTCACCCATTTCATCAACGATGATTGAAATAACGATGATAGTTTGATAACCACCACGAGAGCGAGATAGAGAGGGGGAGAGGGGGAGAGGGAGAAAGGAAAAAAGGAAAGCACTGAAATAAGAATTAGGATTCTCACCTCTTGGATTCAACTGTTTCAATAGTATTGTAGAGAAAACTACCTTCAAAGCCCTGACACACTCACTAAGCAAGATGAAGTATTGAAGTGAGTACAAAGCTAATAGCTTATGGGCTAGGAGAGAATTAGGCTTGATTTTTTTAGGGCATTAATTAAGAACATGGTATGATGAGCTTTACAAGGTTTCGTTAGTTCGCAAACCAAACCTCATTTATCAAGCATGCAAGTAAGAACAATACAAATCTATAGACAAAGCAAAGACCGCCTTTCATTTCATTCATCAACTATTTATAATACAAGAGCCCAACTTTGAAATTGAAAATACAAAAATGAAACTGCAGTTACACATTAATTTCAATTATGAATATGTTCTGGTGTAAGTGTAACTTTCAATTTTAAATTTGAATTTTGCAAAACCTGACAAATGATGATCTGAATGAAGCTTTGTATGACTTGTATACCTCTATATTTTGATTTATTAAAACCTACTAGATGATCGCTTGAACTTTTGGTATCCCATTTTAAATTTGAAAATCCTTCATGATGCTTTATGTAATGTAATTTTTTAATTTGAATAGGTGTTATCAAAGCACAAAGTGTGAAGCACTGAGCTTTATTTTTGCTTCAAAGTGCAAAGCGCAGAGCAAAGCGGTACTTTTATTAACTAAAACACTAAAAGGTTATATAAAATTATTAATGTGTAAATATTTTTATTAAAAATTACAAATTGTAAAGTATAACTTAAAATTTGATATAAAGAGATAATAATGTCGTTCAAAGCCCAATTGGAAGCAAACATTGAGGATAAACCTGAATTTTGAACAATTTCTAATAGTTTGATTCAATACTTAAAATATTAAAATTAAAAAAAAAAACTTATAGCTCAAAATAAAATAAAAATTTTAAAGCATAAATAAACTAATAAAGTCTCAAAGTTTATAAAATAAGTTAAATTAATTCAGTAGCCTTTCATTCCCTCTCGTTAAACTGAGAACCGAACCGATTGCTTTGCTTCAACACTCAAAGCGTGCTTTAGAGAAGTGGGTGTCATGGACTTCGCTTCGGTTTGCATGTGAAACATGCTTTTAAAAACATTGATTTGAATTATTTGTAACCTGACAGATGATACATCACCTTTTATGCTTCCAATTAAGTAGCTTTATAAATGCTCAAAACCTTTACTAAAAAGAATATATTTACTAAAATGAACTAGAATAAATAAGTAATGATATACTTATATTAATTACGTTGTTGAATAATTAACAAAGCATTTTAATTGATTTCCTCTCATTTTTTATATTATAATTAGCCTTCTCAGAGATTAATGTATTTGTCCTAAGTCAATTCTACTTGATTTGATGAGATATGTTGCAGAAAGTTAAAAGTGTAATTGTGAAGTGAGAGGATTAATATTTCATGTGTCGGTAAGACAGGTAGATGTTTGAAACCATAGGGAAATTCCTCCAGTAGATTGTTTATGGAAAGGAAGAGATCTTGATATAAAAACAACTGTAAAAGTGAACATCTGACTCGTACAAGTTGGTCAATCTAGCAATCTTGATGCTTTATGGACCCTATAAATGGTAAAATATTGATTAGGAGTGTAAATAATATTAAAAGGAAAAATAAAAAATAATCATTTTATCCAAGGATCCTGTCATATTTTGCATTCATTAATTGCACCATTATTATTCTCAAATGATGAAATTTTAAAAAATTAGAAATGATAGTCCTGCATTATTAATGTGAAGTGGTTCTGGCAATGATATTCTTATAAAAAAGTTGTGATAACGATAATGTAATAGCATACAAAGATTAATTCATCATAACAACAATACTACGGAACTCAAATATGGATCATCTAAAGAATTATGCAGCCTAATGCAAATATTGGGGTAAATTATATTGAAGGGTGTCTAAAAGGACGACAAGTAGGTGTAATTCAAAAGACAAAGGTGCAATATCCTTTAGATGAAGCAGAGAAACTTTAAACAAAGCATTAGAAGATGTGCCATCCGAATCATCAGCAGCCAGTGGAGTGTCCAAGAAAATGTGCTTGAAGATATCTAAAATGGGTGATAGTTTAAGGAAACAAGAATAAATAACTATAATGGTTTGCAGCCAGTACAATATGATAACCCAAAAAAAATATTCATTATGAGCTGTATAAGGTAAGTCAAAAAAATGAACTCAAAACAAAATATTTATGTGACCCTTAACACACAATGTCTCTTTCATCTCAAAATTTCCTTTTTTTTTTTTTTTGGTTATTGTCGTTATTTTAACCCCAAAAAAAAAAAAAGTGAAATTAATGGAGGAATCCATTATCATTTCCTTCTTCTTTTTGGGTGGATGGAGGTTTTTGTTCAAAGATGCTAAAAATGCCATAATTCTAAATTCTAATAAATCAAAGATGCTAAAATCGCATAGTCAAATATCCAATAACAAAACGCAGCAAAAACAGTCAACCAAACTTTCGCATAGATGATTTAAAAGCAATATCCATGTATACAACTCATAATAGTAATTCTTTGCAAAACAAAATGATAAGTACCTCTTCGGTGAAGAAATCAGACACGACAAAATTTGACTAGCGAAGCAACGAGGTCGGCGGCAAGATCAAGAGAAGGCCGCTGATGCCTATTATTGCCTGGAATTTGCCGACGTGACGCACGGCCCTGAACACAGCTCAGCGGCGGAGAAACACGGCGACGGCGACGGGATTCACGGCGAAAACCGGAACCGATTCGCGGCTAGAACAGAGGTAGGGCTTGAGCGCGGGCGAGGGAACTGAAGCGAAGCATGGCAAATGGAATTTGCTCAATCCGGGCATGTAATTTAGTAATTTCAGGATAAAAATATTAGGAGAATTTACAGCCGTATCAACCGATTCTTACGTATTTACATATATACAATTTCTAAATTTTGAAATTTATTATGTTTTGGGAAAAGTATTACATCAAGACTCTTAATATAGAGTTACGTTCGGACTTCAATGAAATAACGTCACTTTGAGTAATAAAAAAATAAAAAAATTCATTTTAGCGCAGCGAATATCGCGAAATAACACAGGACGAATATTTTCTTGTGTTGCCGGGTCGGTTCACAGGAAAGCGCGCGCGTTTTCTTGAAGTCATGTGTTCGTATATCAGTGGACTTCGAACGTATCTATATATTAGGAGTCCTGATGTAATATTTTTCCCATAAGTATACGCATCAAAATGAGCGTTTTATTTTAAAAATAATTATTATTATAATATTTTTGATATGATATTTAAAAATTGACTGATGTATAGATAAATATGAAAATATAGATGTTAGATATGTGAAGACATAAAAATTATGTGATATGCATTTAAATGCCTCAAAATAATAATAATTGGAACAGTAATTGTTGGAGTACTTCAAATTCATTAAAATTTTATTTCTTAAACAGCATGACAATAAACATTTACATATGTACCACACAATTCTACTGTATTTACATATTTAACACTTTAATTTTAATGTCAAAATAATTAGAAAGTTTTATATGCATACCATACAATATATTTTATATATATATATCAAACTAGCAATTAAAAATTTTATATTTAATATAAAAAAAATTATATTCATGAAATAATACAAGAATATAGGCATGCCCAACATAAATAGATTGAATTATAGTTTCATTAATATTCTTGATGTCACATTAAAGAAAAGCCATTTTGAATTACAAATCTAGACTAAGGTTGTGGTTGGGGCATTTGTGTGATGGCGGTCTGGTGTCGCACCTCACTTTCAGGCACTTGTCAAAACTGTATTTTACTTATTTTTTCATAAAATCATGATAGAAAGCTACATTTTGCAACTTGACATGACTAAATGCGGTGATTATTACAAAGATACATACCATTTTGAAATAAAATTATATTTGTGATTACACTTTTTGAACAAGAGTTTATTTTGCATCAACTTCACGACAATTTCTTCGAAATGTTAGAGCTGCCCCAAACAGACTCTAACCCTTCTAATTGACTCTTCGAAAAATATAGCTCGAATATCTATATTCTCATGTGCACATAATCTTTCTTAATACTGGTGAAGGACATGGGCATTTTATATAAATCTAAACTATTATTAAATTTATAAATAATAAACAAAAGAATAATTGCACTTATACAAACATTATCTTTGTTTTAAAAAAAAATACACTTACCTCTTTCATTGTTAGATATTAAGCTCTTCATACTTTAAATTATATTCATCACCTGTTATTACATACTATTTTAGATAATAGTTGTAATTCTTCAACTTAGAAATTTAGAAACAAAAGAAAAATATAATTTCAAGAAATATATGGGAGGTTAATATAACAAATCTTAATTTAAGCGATTTTTTAAAACAATAATTTAGCTTCACAATTCTATTGTTTTTATTGTTTTTTATTTTTGTAAAATAAAGGGTAATAAGTTTTAAAAAACAGCTAAATAGAGCGATATTTAAACGAGAAATTATTTCGCACGGACACCGCATGCATCTCTGCATGTTAAGCTTAAAAAAAGCAACTAAATAGAATAATATTTAAACGAGAAATTATTCCGAACGAACACCGCAATGAATCTCTACAAGTTTAAAAAATACAGCTAAATAGAGTGATATTTAAATGAGAAATTATTTCGAATGGACACCGCATGCATCTCTGTATGTGATGCCCGATCTCCATCATCGCAATCAATTTTTAAAAAAAAATTGAAAGTGGAGCCCATAGAAATACATCTTTACGGTGATCGACGGTAGAGATCGGATATTCAATATAAAATAATTTTTCTATTTAAACAAAGATAATAAACTGACGAATGCAAACGCTGCCAACCAAATAGCTCATAAATCATCTCGATTATAAACCTCAAAAAATAAAATGCATCAATTAATCCATTGCAGAGCTTCGGAAAAATATTCCGTCCAGACATCCGCACGTCCGATGCCACCTTGCCCGTCGATAACGTGCATATCGAAGTGGCAGCTGGTGGTTGACCGTCGAGACGAAATATTTTCTCCAGAGCTTCACACATGCATGTAAAAGTAAACAATTAAACATTTACACATTTAAAACACAAAAATATGCCATTTAAACAAAAGAATAACAACAATTCAATATAAGACTATCTTCAAGCAGGAAATTCATTAGTTCCATTTGATTTTAAACAAGCTAACAGACCACAATAGAGATGATTGAAAATAGAGAAATAGTTCAAAACTGAGCCTAAAAACAGAATGGAACAATAGAGGTTGATAAATAGTTTATCTAAGACAAATACATAGGCTCCAACCATGAGTTTTTGCAGTAGAATGCTGAAGGAGTTCCTCACTTTTTCTTCTCAGAAACACCAGCAGATCTGTAGGACATTAAAAGAAATCAAGTTAATATTATCAGCATGACGTTTTTAACAGATGATGCAGGAATTGAAGTTCGGCGAATGCTATTATAGGCTGAGGAAGGGATTTGCATGCATAACACACAAATTTTTTTATGTATTTACATATCTAAATTTTAATATTTACTAATAAAACATTTAAATCTTTAACATCATATCAGAGAGAGCATTAATATGAAGTTTTTCTAAGCTTAAGGACAAACATACGTTTTGATGTGATTATGACATTAAAGAATTATACAACTAAATATTGAAGTTGGGGAAGTTGCATGTGCAAAATAGATAAAAATTGTGTTGTGTATATCTAAATTTTAATATTAGTAATAAACATTTCAAATTTTAGCATAATATAAAAAACATCACTAAATTAAGGCTTTTAGGCGTAAACACACCTTCTCAAACATATATTTTAATGTGATTATGACATTAAATAAGTATATAACTAAATATTAAAGTTGATGAGATACATGTGCAAATAGATAAAAATTGTGTGGTGTAAATGAAAACTGTAACCACAGCAAGGGATTTGCATGCATACCACACAAATTTCTTATGTATTTAACATATCTAACATCTAAATTTTAATATTTACTAATAAAACATGTAAATCATTAGCATCATATCAAAGAGAGCATTAATATGAAATCTTTCAAAGCTTAAAACAAACATTTTCAAGCATACGCTTTAGTGTGATTATGACATTAAAGAATTATACAACTAAACATTGAAGTTGGGAGTTGCATGTCAAAATAGATAAAAATTGTGTTGAGTATATCTAAATTTTAATATTACTAATAAATATTCAAATTTTAGCATAATATAAAAAACATCATTAAATTAAGGGCTTTTAGGCATAAACACAACTTTTCACACATATATTTTAATGTAATTATGACAATAAATAAGTATACAACTAAATATTAAAGTTGACGAGATACATGTGCAAATAGATAAAAATTGCGTGGTGCCCCCCAAAAAAATTAAGTGTTCCCCATTCAATTAGTACATCTTATCAAAATTAATTAATTTCTTCCCAGCCTTTAAAATTGACTTCTAATAAAACTTGCAAGAAATAATCACATACAAAATGTTCTCGTTGACAATTAAATCCATTAAAATCAACTTATCACATATAAAATTGCCCTAAAAAATTTATCTTCATATTGTCCATCTACTGCAAACATAGGCCCATTTCTATTGTGATTTTTTTCCAATATGCAAAAGCTTATCTCCTAATGTTTCAAGATTTTCCTATTCTCAATAAGTTACTTGCAAATAAACGATATTCAATCAACTTCTAATTACTGCATCAACCAATCCGCTGGTCTTTTCATTTAAAGTGCTCAAATTTCATAAAAAAAAATTTTAATTTTAGTTTTAGAACTTGCAACCAAATATAGCATTTCAAACACTAAACTAACAGATATATAGATTTTATCAGATTTCAAATTCAATCCTAATTTGGAGGCCGAGAACATATAAGAAAATATAATAACTCTTTTCCACTCCATCATCAACTGGAAAGTATGCGAGGTCCTCACACTTCAAAGCACATGGGCAGACATGAATCAGAAACCACACAAGTTTTAGTAAATTTCAAGTTCAGGTTTTAAGAACAATTGGTGTCAACAAGCAAAGTGTGAAGCCAATTACTGAAACATCAATAGTCATTTTTATATAGTAATTTTAAAGATAGTGTAATCTTTTTAAGTACTTGAAACTTTGTGTAGATGGCATGATATTGAGATTCTAAAAAGACCGCTGACTAATGATTAATGCAAAAAAAGAAATATAATTGAAAAGCATGTAAAAATTGATAAAATATTATAATGTAATTTTAGTCAAATACATGCAAGCCTTTTATTTAATTATTCCTTAAATTTTTTATGTGAAAACATACATGATACGATACTTCATTGTATAATGATTTTTTAATAAAAACAAAAACACTATTTGTTTTCATTAAACATTTTATATTAATGATTATCAAAGAAAAAACTCTTTTACAGTTGTCATTTCCTAATTTAGTTGTGTACATGTATTGTGTCATGCAAAAATACACGTGCATAAAATGAACAGTGATTAAAGTATGATAAGCTTTTTAAAACATGTATGACGCATTTTTAAGTCATATAATAGCTCTACTTTAAATTTATTTAAGCTCTTTTCTAATAATAACTTTACTTCAAATTTATGTAAGCACTTTTCTAACATTATATCTTGAGGTTTATAAACATCTAAGTAGATATAAAATAATTATCAACAACAACAACAAGTCTTTATCACACTAAGTAGGGTCGGCTAAATGAATCATTTTTCACCATTGTGTCCTATTGAGTGTCATATTTTTATTTAATTCTAATAAATTAAGATTATTGTTCATACAACATGTCCCAGGTCTATTAGGCCTACCTTTATCTTTCTTAATATAAATTGAATCTAACATCTACTCTCCTGGTCGGATCATCTAGATAATCGACATTTAATATGACCAACCCGTCTAAAACGACTCTCTCTAATATTGTCTTTCTTTGGAGCTAGACCAACCCTTTCACGGATATATTCATTTCGCATTTTGTCTCAAGTGTAAAGCCACTCATCCACCATCCACCACTCATCCACCTAAGTATTCTATCTCAGCAACACTTAACTTAATTTTATGCTTCTCTTTTATAGGCCAATATTCAACACCATAAAACACTACAAGCCTCACCAACATCTTAAAAACTTTTCCTTCAAGTCCAAGTAGTACTTTCCTATCACACAATAAAGTCCAATGCATTCCTCCATTTCAACCATCCAACTCAAATTCTACTATTAACAACCCCATCTATATCCCCATCACTTTAAACAATAGAACCAAGATATCTAAAACGTTCAATCCTTTTAATGATTTGATCACCCATCGTTACAACTCTACAACTAGATCTATTACAACTAAAATTACATTCCACAAAATTATCAAATGAAATAAAATGATATTTACGACATTTTACAATTAGATGCATTTTACTATACATTTGTATATATATGTGTGTTCATCTGTACGTGTGTTGAAAACATGTCAGACAGATAATACACAAGATCATGTATGATGCATTTTTCCCCCTAAAATTAGACTCATATGTTGACACAACTATGGCATCTATTGACATGAATTAGAAACCACACGAGTTTCAGTAAATTTCAAGTTCATGCTAGAACAATTGGTGTCAACATACAAAGTGGGAGGCATCAATAGACATTTCTTATATAGTTATTTTAAAGATTATGTAATCTTTTGAAGTACTTGAAATCTTGTGTAGATGGCATGATATTGATATTGGAAAAAAATCATTGACTATTGATTAATGAAAGTGGTGAAATATTTTTGAAAAGCATGTAAATTGATAAAATATTATAATAGAAGTTTAGTAAAATCCATGCAAGCCTTTATTTAACTATTCCTTAAATTTTTTAGTGAAAAAAAGTGATGCAATACTTCATTGTGTAAAGATTTTCAATAAAAACAACACACATTATGTGTTTTGATTACACATTTTATGGTAATGATTATGAGTAAAACCCAAATTAGTCCCCCGACTATTAAGAAATGTCCAATTTAGTACAGGAGTTTTAAAATGCTCCACTTTAGTCCTACACTATTAAAAAGTGCTCCAAATTGATAAAAAATCATAGTTTCTATTAAATTTAATAGTTCCTTTCACATTTTAAAGGGTAATTCTGTTTATTTTTAAAATTTACAAACTAAACTCACCAAGGGCAATTCAATGAATCACATAATTTTTTCATTCACTTACGTAATATTTTAAACGTAAAATAAATCCATTAATTAGTTATTCAAGTTAATTTTAATTAATTTAAAAGATATTCTCTAATAAATAATATTAAAAAAAATTCAATGAAAATCAAGTAATTCATATAATTTTAAATTGAGTGAACTCTTATTGTATAATTCTTGATTATTTTATTTTTTTTAATTTGAAACAAAGAGATGACTTATGAATAGATCTATTAATGTAAATTAAAAATTATAACTTTCAACAATAAATAATAAAAGGGATGTATATACAAACCACATATTTTTTTAAAAATTAAATACAAGATGAAAATTCCTTCAATTCATGTAGACCGCCGTCAAATTTAATGGAAAATTAGGAGCACATTTTAATAGTTTGGGGCTAAATCGGAACGTTCTAAGACTCTGGGACTGAATTGGACACTTTTTAAAAGTTGGGGAACTATTTTGGAGTTCTACTCTAATGATTATCAAAGAAAAAACTCTTTCACAGTTGTCATTTCCTGATTTTTAGAGTTATTTTGTCTCCATGTGTTGTGCCATGCATGTATCTCATGTTGGAGTTTGTACTTCATAGGTATAAGTGCACGCATTGTTGATATCATTTCAAATTTATAAAAGTTTTTTTTTAGTTAACAAACTGATGTGAAGGTCTACTTCAAATAAAATTTAGCGAATGCAATTAAGCTAAATGAAATAGATTGTAATTTAAGAGTTAAAATATGAAAATAGCTGAAAAATTGAAATTTTGATTTGTTTGTTTAATGAAATTAAAATATAGACATAAATAAAAGGAAGATTTACATACATACAGCTCAATTCTTATGTACTCACATATATAACACCTAAACTTCAATTTTTACATACATGGAACCATATTTCTACATGAAAAGATGTATTTCAATTTTTAAAAGCTATAATTGTGGTATTTCTTTATGTGGTATGAAACATTTGGATAGTTTAAATGTCCAAAAGCAAACTTTAGATGTTAGATATGTGAATTCATAGGAATTGGGTGATATGTATGCAAATGCTCCTAAATAAAAATTATAGTTTAGGTTTAAAGAATGTGATTCTCATTTTCAAACGAATGCAAGCCCCGTTTTCTTAATGTTATGAATGAGAAAAATTCAATTTGTCTGACAATATGGACAGAGAGCGCACAACAAAATTAAAATTGCAAAACAAGAAACTCACCTCATCTTTCTCAAAACATTGGCCATCTCCTCTCTCTTCTTCTTAGCTCTTTTGTGCGTCCCTAACTTCCTTTTAGCAACTTTCAACGCACGCTTATCCTTCCCAACTTTCAGAAGCTCGGTGATCCTTTTCTCATAAGGAGCAAACCCAGCAACTTCCCTTATCAAATTCCTCACAAAATGCACCCTCTTACTGGTTTTCTAAAAAACCAAACATATAAATAACAATTAAGATGAGACTCAAACATCAACTATTAACATTGAAAATCATCTAAGAAAACAAACTTGCATATATATATCTATCAAACACCAAGATTTTTCCATATTAAACAACTGATTGAATAAGAAAAAAAATCTGCTAAGAGGGCCAATGCTTAAGAAGAGATATCAAAAGATAAAAGCTTCCGCGAGTAAATTATTCTAACGTAGTGCACAGCCATCATCATAGCAAAAAACTTCAAGTAAATAGAAATCATCAAAACTACAACACAACTACGCATCAAATGAAAAGCTCATCAAGAAAAGATTAATGGTTTTGAACTGAGGTAAGATGCTCAAGTGTTTACCCCTTTCCTGCTTGAAGGGCGAGGCGGCAACTCCCTTTTGGTGACGATGTGGCCTTTGTTAAGCCCAACAAAAAGACCCGTCTTCGGCTGTGCAGGAGCCATCTATCCCCTCTGATTCATAAATCAAAGCATTGCATTACAGATTGATCGAAGGAAACAAAAAACTATAGCCCTTAGATTGGAAGAAAGAACTAAGACTTAAGATCGACGGGGTAATACAACCTTAGCTCAGAGGTCTCGGAACCCCTAATGGCAGCCGCCGGAGAAAACAAAATGTGGTAGTGAGCCGAGAAGAACCCTAATATGGGGTTCGCGTGAAGGGCTTCGGTCAATGACGAAAATAGAGTTTATATGTAGTGCTATTTACATGAATGCCACCAAATTGCCATTGGGTTCTTGTGAATATATTAGATGATCTATAGATAAAAATTAAAATTTTAAGTGATTGGTATGTTAATACATAGTAATTGGGTGGTAATTATGTAAATCTCTCTATTTATTCTAGGTCGACAATAAATAATTTGAGAGGTTTTATTATTATATAATAGTCTATGGGCATTTACATACATACCCTCAAATTCATTTCTATTTACATATGCAGTGCTTAATCTTTACATTTGATATTTACATATGCAGTGCTTAATTGAATATTATTTTCTAGTTAGTTGACAGATCAGAGTGTTTATTTATTGGGTAGTTTAATTATTTTGACAGCCCAACAACTCCATTGGCAGATGGTGTTTAATCACTATTAACAATAATTTAAAAAGCATGCTTAAGAAAGCATCAACTTAAGATGATTATTAAACTAATTTGAAAAAGAAAAAAAAATTCAGTTTGAAGTAATTACAACAACAATAACAAACTCTTATCCCACTTAGTGGGTCGGTTGTATGAATCCTTTTTCTCCAATGTGTGCTATTGAGTGTCATATATTTATTTAATTCTAATAAATTAAGATCATTTTTTCATATAATATGTCGAATTCTTTCTTTGTCTACCTTTGCCGTTTTTAACATATTTTGAATTTAAAACATCTACTCTCTTAATCGAGAATTAGATGGTCGACGTTTAATGTGACCAAACCCTCTAAGACAACTCTCTCTAATTTTGTCCGCCACCGGAGCTACGCCAACCTATCACAGATATATTAATTTCGCATTTTATCTCTAAGCGTAAAGCCACTCATCCACCTAAGCATTCTCATCTCGACAACACTTAGACTTAGTTCTATGCTTCTCTTGTAAAGGCCAACATTTAGTGATAAAATGAAATATTTTATTGTTAACAACAATATTATAATCACTAAGGTCGATTGTAATTAGGAAACTTCATTAAAAAGTTTATCAAAATAACTCACCTGTCTATATTGAATATTTTCTAAGAAAAGTAATTTTTTATTTTAATATTTAATACACTTTACTTTTCTTTTCTCTTTGTTTAGTTAATTTATACATGCATCTTTCACCCTCATCTAATCAATTTTAAAGACCACTAAAATTAGAATTTTTAGCGTCACAAATTATTCTCTTAGACTCCCTGCGGATCATTCTATAGTTTTCTAACTTATCTAAACTTTTATATTAAAACTAATTTTTATAACATAACTTACTATATTTATTTTTTCTTGCATATTATTATTCCACCACCAACTATTCTCATTTATGGAAATATTTTTTTTATTCTTCAAGTGCATCTTTTGTCACTTGTTTAATAGTTTTTGTTACTTTATCCTACATAGAACTTCGTGAATCTTAAAATCTTAAAGTTTACTTATAAAAATATTTTTTTTTGTCTTTTAGATGCTCCCATCTAATACTAAAACAATGATTCATAGTATTCTTTATTTTACAACTATTCATCATAAAATCTAGAACTAATAATCGATATTGAGCACTTAATTCATCACTTGGAATGACCTCACAATATTTACATTCTCAATGTTCTATTCTTCACATGAGAAAATAATCAATTTGTGTTTTATTAGATCCATTTTTATAAATAATAATATGCACATCTATTTTCTTTAATAAAGTATTAGCAATAAAAAAATCATACGCTAGAGCAAAATCTAATATGACTCTACCTTCTTCTTTAATCATTCCAAAATGGTAGCCACATGAATATTTCTAAAATCTTCTACCACTATACCGACATGTACATTTAAATATCCTCTAATAAAAATTTTTTCTTCAAGTTGCGTCATTTGTATTAAGTTTAATAGGTAATTCTAGAATTTATCTTTAGAATCTATATCTAAACCTACTTGAGGAGCATAAATACTTATAATATTAAAAATCTTAGTATCGATAATAATCTTAAAGACTATAATTCTATCTCCAATTCTATTAATTTATGTAACATTATATTTTAAATTCATTTGTATAATTACACTTTTATTATTTCTAGTGCGACTCTTACATGAATATCAAAGTTTAAAACCTAAGTTATCAATTTCCTTAGTCTTTTCTCTGAGTCATTTAATTTCATGAATACATAAGATATTTATCTTTCTATGAATCATAATATCAACTAATTTCATTAATTTACTCATGAGGTTATCTATATTTCAATATCATATCTTAATATTAGTTTCATTGGCTTACTTCTTTACATGCATCCTTCCGCAATATGAAAATTCTTGCTTATTTGACAGACATCTAGAAGCCAATGTAGCGGCATTTGCACACTTTTCATTGTTTATCAGGTCGTACAGTGCATCACTTCCAGGGGATGCCTTAGCATTCGTACAATGATTTAAAGGATTCATGTCATGATTTTTCGACAAATTTTATACGGACTGTCAACTACCTATGACAACCTCTCACTTTTCATATCGTGGGCTTGGGACCCACAATGCCATTGTTTTTTCTCTCAATAAATAAAATTAATTTTGTTTTTTCTTCCAATAAATTTAGGCAATGAAAATTTCGCAAGATGGCCAATCAAGTTCAAGCAATGTGTTTTTGGTTTTTCATTAAACAAATATAATGCAAATAAAAACCACATTTTCTATATTTATATTAATATTATTTTTAATATAAATAATATTACTATTTAATATTGCCGTTAAATGTTTACCGACATACTCTAAAAAAATTGCCAATTAATATGCATTTGGAGCTCTATTACAGAGCTTGGATTATGAAAGTAAAGCATTTTTAATATCATTAGAATTATCAACAAAAAAAAAAAAAGGAAGATTTACATACATACCAGAAAGCTAACTCAATTCTTTTGTATTTATATATCTAACACTTAAACTTTAACTTCTACAATTTTTACATTCATGCCATCTTATATATGTATTTTATTATTATTATTTGTTTTTTTTTTAAGTTAACATGGTGGTATTTTTATATGATATGAAAGTTTTGGATGGCATAGAGTTTAAATGTAATATATGTAAATACATAGGAATTTGGTGGTATAAATGTATGTAAAGGCCCCAAAGTTTGTGTTTAGGTGCCGTAGACAGATGACGGAGGTCTGACGATCATATACATGATGGTCAACAAACTGTAAGATTATGTGATAGTAACCAGACATTGATGATCGAGAAACCATGTTTGGTTGTTGTTGCTCGAGCTTACAGGGTTGGGCGTTTATTAATGGGTGATGGAGGCTGAGTGGTTGAAATCGTGCGATCGTGGTCACGTGATTTGTTACGTGGGCACCTTGCCTAAGGGCAAATTTATCTCTTGTATGCCTAAAGACAATTTAATCTTTTATTATTATTATTATTGTTAAGTATAAATAAGTTTGTTATGTCTAGGGTTAGGGTTATACATGAGATTGACTTGTGAGTCTTGGGTTTAGTGTTTAGGAAAGATTTCCTATCTCTTGAATTGTATGAATTGGGAGAGATCGCCTATTTCTTCAATTTTAGATTTTTATCTTTATATTCTTGTTGAGTTATTTGATTTATTGAAGAAATATTGTGTTTGCAGTAATTTTTTTTGGAAAAGCAAGTCAATTTTGAGGTCAGCTTATCATATTAGTTGAATGATCGTGGTTGGATGATCATAGTTGAGAGACTGTGGTTAGGTCCCCATACGCAAGTAATAAAGATCATGTGGCAATAAACAAGACTCTATTATGGAAACTATAGAGAGACATCAATGATTGAGTGATTGTATTCAATTGATAGTGATCGAGCAATCATCGTATTTGGGATTGAAGATGAACAGTAAAAGTTGAGCGATCGTGATTTGGTGATAGAAATTAAGAGATCATAGATAGATGGCATAAGTCAGACAATCTTAGATGAGTGGCGAGGTCAGATGTTACTGGTGATTCAATGGCAGTGTTTGAACGGTAGAAGTTTAACTATCGTTACAATAACTTGGCAAAGTTGGACAAGCAACGGCGAATCCATGACAGTGGAGGGACTCTAGTTTTCTAACGAAAATGAAAATATGATGAAGATTTGACAGTTGTGGATTGATAAAGGGCAATTTGATAATGGTGGTCGAGTGATGTCATCCTAAGAACAATAATCAAATGGCAATGGCCAAATGCCAACGATTGATGGTCAGATGATGTTAGACAAGCGGCGTTCCTACATTGCCAATGAATGGGAGACAATTGTTGGATGGTGGTAGGCCAATGACAATGTTCTGGCGGCGATGGTGACGGTCCAACTATGGAATATAAGTGGTTGTGATCTAATGATGGTGGCCGGTTAGCAGTGGGGCGATCGGGCAACAACAGTCTAAAGATACATTGAAATAGACCACACACTGCATTAAAAAATAAGTAGTCTCCAATAGAATTACAGTTCATATTAGCCCTCAATACCAGTAGTTGCCGACATTTTAATCAAACATGGATCAACCAATCCCTTTCCAATTTCTTCGATTCAAAAGCAACATCATCACATGACACTTTCCATGACAGCCTAAGCTTCCTAACAGCTCTTCTCCTACCCACCGACAACAGCTACTAATTTAACTACTTGCAGAGAAGCAGATCTCTAGAGAGAGAGAGAGAGAGACACACACACACACACACACACACACACAGAGACAGACAGTACTAGTGTAAGAGTACAGTAGGTAGCCTTTCTGCTATTCTACTCTACTCCTTGCGCTGCTTGATTCTGAGCAGCACCCTTCCTGCTTTAATTATGACAAGATTAATTTAATTGAGGTTTGGAACTCGATGCAAAGAAGGGTTCAATTTTAAAAGAATAAAATTATAAATTATTCCACTCTTTGATCAACGAATCAAATAGAAAATGAGAGAGGGCGTGTTGGTATAAGTACTAAATATATTGAATATTTTTATTTATTAATTATTGAAAAATTAAATGTTTTATTTATTTTCTTAAATTTGTAAATAAGAGATTAATAACAAAATTTATTGCCACATAGGGAGGAGATGAGGAAGAGATTTGTTCATGAACATCACTTGTAGCTCTATTACTGTGTTAACCCGAGACTTTTGAGATCCAGACGAGGTGGAAACTCTCACTCGTTTGATTATGATTATACTCTTTGCAAAAATTAGAGTTAGAAGTTTTTAATTCACTCAATTTCGAACCTTCATGCTAAAGTCAAAACCAATATGTTAGAAAATTTTCATACTTTAGGAGTTCGCTCTTTCTTCGTGGGATCGGTACTCAGACTCAGTTTTATATACTACTTGTATGACATGCATGTATTCACTCAAATTAAGACTCTCCTAAAATACTAATCAGTGCTGAAAAGCACTAGTATTATCTGTTAAGAAATCACAATATTTTAGCATTTACATCGTAAATGCATCGGTTCGATAGTTCAAAAATTATTTTGATAGCTATATTTTGTGAATGATTAAATGTTTTCGAGCGCTATGTATGTAATTATTTATAAATAAATTATACCTTTCTTGGTAGTAGATGGTAAAAGATTCAACAAAAGCTCCAAGCAACTATCACTGTAAAGAAACGGGAGAAAATACGATTTTTATTTATTTATTATTATTATTATTACGTTTTTGTATTTTTAATTTTTCAGAGTCAACTCATTGGTTCGTTTAGTACAACATGCATGTGATATAATGAACGTTCTCAAAGCTATTTTCAAGTTATTAATCTAAATAAATAAAAAAAAAATAATAAAACACGGGTTCAGTTTGTTTGGTAGCTCATGTATGATTTGCTCGTTAAGCAAATGAGCCTAACACAAACAATTTTTTTTTACGCTCGATATAAAAATGAGCCGAACACGAACAAAATTTTGTTCATTCGTGTTCAACAAGTTTTGGCTCGAAATAATTATATGTATATATATATATATATATAAATTAATTTAATTGACTACAATGCTACAAAGATTTATAATTAATTAAAATTAATAATTAAAAATAGAATAAAAAATATATTTAATTTTATTTAAATGAAAATTTTAATAGAACTAACAATATTTAAATCTCGCAATACTCTTAACATCTTGCAGGTGTGTGATTAGGGTTGTCAAGGTAGCTCATTATTCATGCATAGCGTGTTTGGCTCGATAAACAAGCAAGCCAAAAATAAACTAATTTTTTAAGCTCGATATATAAATAAGCCAAACACTAATAGTGATATTTTTTAACAAGTTGAGTCTCGACTAGCTCAGGCTCGACTCATTTATACCCCTAACAACTGCATGCATTACTAGGGTTAAAATTTTTTTTTTTTCCGCGAACAACTCATGTTAGGCTTGTTATACAAACGAGCCGAAGACAAACAATTTTTTTGTATTCGAAATGTAAATGAGCCGAACACGAACAATAATATTTTTTAACTAGTCGAACATGAGCTTAGTCCATGCTCACTCGTGTTTGGCTTGTTCACAACTATAGAGGAGCCGCATGCCATGCCGTAATCTCATATTATCATAATAATTACATATTAGATGCTAATAATTACTTATTTTATCCCACGGACCCTAATCAGATGGCTAGAGCCCTCTTTGCTCGTTATAAAAATAAAGCAGATTTTTGCACATTTAACCTCTTCATTCCATTAAATTCGGATACTAGACATAAATACGGGGCATTTACATACATTAAAATAATTTATATTCCAAATAGGCTCATAAATAACAAATTTATATTCAATTTAGTTCAATTTCATTTATTCTTATTAAGGGTCCGTTTGGGACAGCTTATAAGTGCGGACGACATTTTCAAAACGTCGTCGCCGTACCATTTGGTTCTCGCGTTTCGCTAGATTATCCGAAACAGCGTTTGAGTTTTTACACTAAACGCAGACCGACCCCTGCGGCCGGCCCGCGAGCCGCTAGATTATCCCAAACGAACCCTAAGTCTCATTTTAATTGAAATTAGCTTGAATAACTTTTTAAAAAGTATATTTATTATTTTTTAAATAGAATAAAAGATACTATATATGTGTATGAATTAATTAATTATTTGTTTAATTTGAGTCAGAACTATTCGGCCAAAATATCTGAGGGATCACACCTCACTTTTAGGACCATTTGATCTGGCCACACTGGCTGCTGGTGGACCACGGACCTAACCATGGTTTACTTGAAGAATATTCAACACTTCGGAGGTTTGAGACCACGAGATGGTTACGAACACCGCCGGTTACAATAACTAATTTTTATAAATATGTTCAATAATTATTCGACACAAAAATAAACTTTATACAAAAGCTAATGCAAATTGCAGAACTGATGCTATTCAGATAAATTTAGTTTTCTTATTTTAAATATTAAAAATATATATATTTTCTAACTTTTCTCGGCAAGCTTTTAGTCGTGTGAAAAGTACGGTAACCTCACCGATTGCATCAAATATCTGAGAGATAAATCCGCGTCCATCGTTCTCATTACGAAGCCTCGCGGCTTATTAAGCACGATCGCCGGCGAGCAGGGCACGCTCGCCCTTGCTTAGCGCAGCTCCGTCGGCCAGTCGCCGGAATTTGATTCATTCGAACCAGTCGGAGCTCGCCTGTGAAGATGGGTCAAGGCTTGAGCTGCGGCCAGCCGAGCATCGAACCAGATTTCTTCGCCGCCGTTCAGTTCGGCGATCTCAAGTTAGTGAAATCTATCCTCCGTATAGAGCCGGGAATCATCCGAAAAACTACCCCTTACGGCCGCCTCTCCTCCCTACACATCGCCGCCGCAAACGGGCATGAGGAGGTTCCCATCTTTCTCGCTGAGATCTTTCTTAATGCGTTTTATTTCTCATTTATATCCAATCCTTGATGACTTCCTTATTATTGCTCTCAGCTGCTTTCAATGCTTTTGGAGCGATGGAATCACCCTGATGCTCTCAACAGGCACAAACAGGTAAACGAAAATGGAAAAAAATAAATCTTTTTTTATTAATTCTTCGATAAAAATCTAATCTTTTGTTTGATTTCGCTCCGAAGACTCCTCTTATGTTGGCAGCAATGCGCGGGAGGATTAATTGCGTGGAGAAACTCATCCAGGCGGGAGCTAATGTGAGATTTATCCCTTCTCTTCCTCCTCGTTTCCCTGCAATTCATTCTTGAGATTCTGATGAGTCATAAATCGATGCGCTTTTGTATCTGCTTGCTTTCAGATCTTGATGTTTGATTCGGTGAATGGAAGAACTTGCCTCCACTATGCTGCCTACTATGGTCATTCTGATTGTTTACAAGCAGTTCTTCAGGCCGCGCACTCCAATCTAATTTCAGAATCGTGGTATGTAGGAAATTCTTATGCAAGTCGGATCATCTGGATTTTATCCTGCTGTCTAAGTATTTTTGGTCTCTGGTTCTTCTTCTTCTCAAACTGCAGGGGATTTGCGCGTTTTGTTAATGTGAAAGATGGCAAGGGGGCCACGCCATTGCATCTTGCTGCAAAGCAAGGTCGTCCATCCTGTGTCAGAATGCTTTTGGATAAAGGAGCTCTTGTCTGTGCTTATACAGGCGACTACGGGTAACTTTGCTGAATTTCCCTTTGCCCTTCTTCTTTTTCTCCAATTTCTGATTGATAAAATTCATTCATAACTACAGTTGCCCTGGGAGCACACCCCTTCATTTGGCAGCTCGAGGAGGTTGCTTAGAATCTGTCCGCGAATTGCTTGCTTGGGGTGCAGATCGCCTTCAGATGGATTCAGCAGGGTACGAATCACCTAAAAATTGTTTCTTTTTTTTTGTTTTGTTTTAACGTCAAGAAGGTATTTTCATGATTCCATATGTTACAGGAGAATTCCTTATGTCATTGCATTGAAGAGAAAACATCTGTGTGCTGCTTTGCTGAATCCATCTGCTGCGGAACCTCTAGTGTGGCCTTCTCCATTAAAGTTCATTAGTGAACTCAAGCCGGATGTAAAGCTACTTCTAGAGACAGCCCTCATAGAAGCCAACAAGAAAAGAGAAGACAAGATCTTTAAAGGAATAGTGTTCGCTTTGCCATCCCCTGAACAAAGCGTGATTGATGATGACAAATCTGAGGTATTCTTTCTTCCTACACTTAACTTTAATCTGTACAGTGCTAAACATCTGTAATCATCAGATCTGTGAATCTCATAGGATTCATCTTAACCTCCTAAATTTCATAGTTCGAACACCATTACAGGGAAGCGGGGTAGAGCTCTGCTGCATCTGTTTCGAACAACCTTGCACAATTGAAGTTCAGGACTGCGGGCATCAGATGTGCGCTCACTGCACCTTAGCTTTGTGTTGCCACAACAAGCCTAATCCGACAACTCAATGTCCACCGGCGCCGCTTTGCCCATTCTGCAGAAGCAATATCGCTCGACTGGCGGCTACTAAGTCCGAAATAAACGAAGATATAGACAAGGATATATCTCCAAAGTTAAGGAGATCACGATTCATGAGTCTGAGTGAAGGGAGTAGCAGCTTCAGGGGCCTCTCCTCCGCCATGGGTTCCTTTGGAAGGATGAGCAACCGAGGCTCTGGTCGGATAGTAGATGGCGGTGATATGATTGACAAATTTTGAGACTGTGTTGGAAAAGATTACTTCTTTTTTAGTATTGGAGAGGTGATTTCAGGTCCATAAGCAGGAAAGTCTTGTTCTTTTTTTGTTGGGGGCTTTGGGAGTGTAGAAAGTTCATTATTTGGAAATGTTATTATTATTCATTCTTGAGACTGGCGACGTAATTGAGGACTGGGATTTGGTCTCCATTGTTTGAGAATTTTCTTCTATCCGTGGTTAGAGTAGGTTGAGTTTGATGATGGAGGGAGGAAGAAGATGAAGTTTAGTAGCTTACTTTGTTTGGTTTCTTTCTTACTTCTATGGAAATCGTTTTTATGAATTGCTGCTGCCGTGGCAGATTCTTTTTTCTTCTTATTCCGCTCTTGTGAGGAGAAAAAAAAAAAAAAAAAAAAAAAAAAAAAAGGAATGATGAGAGTTAATATATATAGTTATTACATATAATTAATGCTCACCTCATCATGTGATGTAAATTATTGTTGGATATATTTTAGATTTTTTATCTTTTGATAGTTAGTTTTATGACCACTAGGTTAAAATTTAATAATTAGTGGTTATTGTGTGATCTGAATTTTAGTCTCATAATTAGTCTGTCAATTCCTCCACAAATCCTTGTACAGTGCTTTTTTAATCAAAGTTGATAAAATTAGAGGACTAAGGATCTGTTTGGGGCCGTTACAACTTATTAGAAAACAACTATAAATTTATTAGAAAATAATTATGAAGTTATTGAATAATAATTTGATGTTCAAAAAACTGCTGTGACTATTATAATTTTTTTTTAAAATTTGATCACAACTAGAAAACTGTCACCACACATAATCGGAAGTGGTGAAAAAATATAGATTTCAACAAGCATCATTTTGAAAATGCTGTCAAAACAAAGTTTATCCAAACTCCTGCTCAAAACAGGCACTGAAGAGAAGGTAAAATGATGAAAACTTTATATTGATGAAACTTGGTTTTAATTTTTAAGATTTGTTGTGAGGTCACTCATTTTTTTTTTTCTCTCGTGCTAATATGCATTTTTATTGCAAAAAAAAAAAATTAAAAAAAATTAAAAAAAATTAAAAGCCTGAGATATATATGGGCTGTGGAAAAGGGTAATATCCAACAAATGTTGAAATCTTAATTAAATATAGTTTGATTTATTTATGGTTTAAATTTGAGATTTATTTTAAATTAGTTTATTATAGTTGATTGAAATTTGAAGCTTTGTAAACTTTAAACAATCACAGAGAAATTAATTAGTTATTTTTATAAATTTTATTTTACTTTTTTCTTAGCAATTGTTAATGAATTTAATTGGAATCAAAGTTATTTTTTTTACTTATATTTATGAAAATTTATACTAACTTAAATCAACATCAATTAAGAATAAAGTTAAGATCAAATTATTTATGTGGTTTGATTTTCATTTTATGTTTATTTAATAGTAATTATTTTTGTATTATGAATGGGAAAAATAAGATTTCAAGAGGTCAATAAATTATGCACAGACTAAAAGAATATATATTTACATATGCATTATAATAAATATGCATAATTAGTTATAACAAATTAAGCAATTTAAACACTAATCTACAAAATTGATATTTGGGACCACAAAGCCAAGTTTGACATTAGAGAAATAAAATAGTTCTCTCATATCGTGAATTTCCACGACTGAAAATACAAAGCTGCTTGCCGTATCGTGTCGATCAGTCCCTACGGGGTAGTCAGGTCAAAGGTTTGTTAAGTTGGCTAAACAGATTTTGATGATTGTTATGAATAATAATTTTATATTGTTAACGTGGAAAATATTATTATTTGTTGAATTTAAATTTGTCCATAAGACACCAAAAACAATAGAGAATAAGATAGATAATTCTTGCATTTATATAGAAGGGTATATAATGTATACAATTTCATGTTTGCCCCTAATTAATGAGGGTGTTATATAATATTTTATGTATTTTAGATATATAAGCCTACGACTCGACTACGCTCTAACACGGTGATTTGAAATCGGTGGGTCTCGGTTCGGCAAGAATTGTTCTTCAGACTGTGGGGGATCAGGGCTGTCGGCTTGCCTTTGATGGTATTTAGGTTGGGGCAAGACTTGTCTCAGTCGGTTTAGCTTTGCCAGTCGGCTATTATAGTATGTATATTGACAACCGATCCCTAGATGAGGAGCTCATATTTGCAGAATGATATTATGATATTAGACAGGGTGGATCATCGTAATCCGACAGTTAGCTAATACCTTGAGAGAGGGGTCCTTTGAGATGCTCATTGGTTGTATTATTGTCAATTATTGCACCCTTTGAGGAATCTCATGGGTGCTGGTCAAACAGCTGGCGATGCTGAAATCTTCCCTTGTGTCGGGTTGTTATGAGAGGTAGGGCGATGCTTCTGCATGATTTGATTAGCCTTAGTTCATAGCTCGAACGGCCTATATTTCCGATCGGCTTCAAGACCCATTTTAGGGGGCTGCATCAGGTCAAGTAGATCCTTCGACCTTCCGCCAAAAGACCCTCTAGGTCCATCAGATTTGTCTGAGATTTGTGCTGACACATTTCTGATGTACATTATTATTATTATTTTAAAAGTAAAATACATGATTTCATGTATAAATTTAAGAGCCCTAAGCAGTCTTCACCCACACGATAAATATCTTCAGAAAGGGATCGTACGAATAAGAGAAGCCGTGTGGTAGAAAACAGAAATAAAGTTAGTGGGATTAATATATTTAATTTTTAATTACTATTGCATCAACTTGTAATCCCGCACTTAGTAATTGTTAATTAAGAATTAAACAAGTTGCTTCCTCCCTCTTGTTTTATTTAATTTGACCAACGCAATGAATTGAATTCAAGCTTGAACCCTGTAAGCCGCCACTAGTTGGAAAAGTTTATATACAAGAGCAATATTATATGGTTCCTAACCTAATATTATTTGACTTCAATAAATAAATTAAAAAAAAGAAAAAGAAAAGGGAGAGGTGATATAAGGTAGGAGTCTTCAGGAGTATCAGATATATGCAACCACTAACTATAAAAAATTGATTAGTAATAACTTCAATTAATGAAAAAGGTTAGCGGGCAATTAGATTAAGAGTTTGTTTGGGATAATACTTCTTAGAGAAAAAAATACATGAATTTCTGAGTATCAAATAAATTATTTAAAAAAAAATCAATAAATATATACATTTATTCCATAGTTAGCACTAATCTGACTAGAGGTGTAAACGAGCCGAACACGAGCGAGCCCAAGCGCAGCTCGTGGGGCTCGTTAATATTTTGAGCTCAAAAAGTGTGTTCGTGTTCGGCTTGTTTACTTAACGAGCTGAACACGAGCCGTTCACGAACAAAGAGTCATTTTGACAAAACCCTAATCACGTAGCTATAGATGTTAAGGATTGGGGCAAGATTTAAAACATCATTTGAATAGAATTTAATAATTTTTAATCTATTTTTTTCATTAATATTTTTAATTGCTTATAAATCTTTGTAGCCTTGTAGTCAATTAAATTTTTAAAAAATACTACTCATCAAATAAATAAATAAATAAATATATATAGGCAAAACGAGTCGAACACGAGCTTCTTAAGGAGCTGAACAACAAGCAACAAACACCAATCCCTATGGTAATTGAAAATTGAGAATATACCACTTTGATGAATCATGATTAGGTCAATAATTGCAATGATGAATTTTGTAAACATAAGAAAAATCACATAAAATCAGGCATCCAAAAAATTTAAAATTCAAATAAATAGAGAGAGTATTCTCCATAGACCATATTAGCATCAAAACCAGACGCAATGTGAGTAAATAAAAAATCACAAACTCATATAATTCATCAGAGTAAGTGCCAAAATAGTACCCAACTATTTATGTGTATAACATTGTCAAAATAGTCCCCATAATCTTTAAATTGATGCTAAAATAATTTCCATGGAGGACTATTACCCTAAACAATTTTAAAATAATCGGGGACTATTTTTGACACTTCTATAAAGCCTAGGACTAAAACAACCCCATGTGAATAGTCGGGGGCCATTTTGGCAATTTACTCCAATTCATCATTTTGGGAGTATAAAATTTGGATCGTTATAAGTCATTTTTAAGAAAACAGAAGAAAATCAAGTGCATTTTAATAAAATTTGAGTCCAAATATTCAGAATTGAATTTTTTTTTTCTGTAATAATGGGATTTACATTAAGCATCCAATCTTGATCAGCGTTTGAAAACATGAAGGATGAAAAAGTGTGGATTCCATCAGAGAAAAAAGAACAGAATTTGTTAGTTTTGCTTTTCTAATTTTGGACAATAAAATGCTCTCAATCTCAATAAAGAAGCACCGTTGGAGACGAGAAATTCATCCGGCATGCAGCTAGGACAAATATTAATGTGAATTCATGAGGAATGAGTGTGATTTCTTACACTTAAAATTGCAGTTCAGATTGGTTGGTCTACACAGGATCACATCTTTACACCAGGCCTGTACTCTCCTATACCAAGTAGATCCTGCAGAGGTATAAATGATGCCAGAAAATATTTTAAAAGAATGAATCGAGGTTTGGAAGCAGAGAGTGAATACTGTGAGAATTCTCTGTTTAAAATTATAGCAAAAACTAGAAAGTAGAAACTATGAAAATTTTCCCTAAAACTCTTGCTCTGGAAATGGTCAAATGACACCTCTCTATCACAGTATTCTCGTCTCTGGTTGCTTCCATCTTCTTATACTAATTAGTCTACCTGGTCTGCAAGGATTGAATTTTGTTGTTTGCCTCATATAACAGCATACTTTCTCTCCCTGTCCTCATCATCCAACACATCGTAAAGAGATATTCAGCTAAAGCCACTCCTCCACATTAGTCCAAAATAAGTTCAACTTGGTTTGAAAGTCATAATGCCTTACCTTCTGGATCTACCTACTATTTCGGTAACAGACTCCTTTAACACCCTTAAATAAACATCTCCCTCAGCAGCTTATGTCATCACTTATTTTTTTGTTGCGGTTACCTCTACTAAAACATCCTAAATTTTATATTCAACTGCCGCTTCCTATACAACAAGTAACAATTTTTTTCATTTTTCTAAGGGGATGTATGGTTAGGTAAATTTGCAGTATAAAATATACGGAATGCAGATGTTTTCAAAATTTCG